TGCGGGGCTGCGGAGACGGCGTTCGCCAGCCGAGGGGAGCCCGGGCGAGAGGGGGCTGTGGGGAGGGGAGTGCCAGGCACTGCAAGGCCAGGGGCCTGAGACTTTGCCAAGTCAGTCTGATTATCAGCACTTAGATGGCCGTGGCTGCTAATCCAGGCAGATCCCCTGCGTGACGCGACGAAAAAAAACCGCCTTAACAGCCTTTGCAGCTATGCTACGTCCAGGAATGCAGATTTCTTAAAAACTGGAACAAAAAAAGATGTTAAAATAAAAAAAATACTAGGAGTAAAATTCTAAACAATGACGTTAACTGTGAAAGTTCAGTAAATAGCTCAGCAACCAACTCCTCCAGATCGTCAGGAAAAACATATTCTTACCAAAAAAACAGATGTTCTCCTTAATATAAGTTGGTCAAGTATCCCAGACATCTGGAGCCCCAAACCACTTCAATACCTTAATTTACTCAAATAACGTTCAGATTTATTCACAAGATACAAAGAAGCAAGGATGGCATTTTTGACCCAAATCTAATCAGGAAATTATACGAATTTGGAGTTTAATTTCCTGTTGCCATAGTGGCTCAGCTCCAGCCTGAAAAGAGCGCTACTCCCAAAATAGCCAAAATTAGGACAGTTAATAGCTACTTGTGGTATTCTGTGCTCCAACTACGAACATGTTCCAGCACAAGAGTAGAAAAATATGTGGAATTGAACAGTGGGACAGATTGCAAAGTACCGTTTGTGAAGGAATGCACGGCAATGTCGATGTACACACACATCCTACGTAATCACATCCTTGCTAAAGCAGAGCCTTCTTCAGAAAGCAAAAGAGTAATTCGCACAACTTCTGTTTCTCTTCCATGCCACTGAAGACCACTGCCAGATTTCCGTACCTGTCCAGAACAGACGGGCACAGGGTGCATGCCACACACACAGCAAACACACCCCACGTGGCATCGGGCGCTTTGTGTTACCCTCACTACGACAAACTGCGGAAGGGGCACACCAGAGGTCACAACAGTGGCACTTTTCTTCTCACACCGGGCACATAAAAACCACGAGCGGCGAGGAAGCCCCGTGCTCGCTGGACTGATTCCCAGGGGTTTCCACCGCTCTCCGTCTGCCCGCAGCCTCCAGGCGAGCGACCGGAGCGGACGCTTCTGACGGACGCAGAAGGACTCGCTGTCCCCCTCCCCCTTACCTGCCAAGTATTTTGCTGA